CAGCTGTGTCCCCAGGGGCTGGCTGCCCATTTCCTTTCATCCCAACAATTTCTGTCACTTTAAAGAGCTCATTTCTCCATGGCATTTAACCCTGCAGACATTTCCAGGAGGCGCCTCCCAGCCAAGCTGGTGCCCAATGCCCTGCAGTCCCACGGATGGACAGGCACGACTCCAGGCTCCGCATGCATCTGCAGCCACCACTCCCATTTTCCCCGTTCCTGCTTGGAGCTGGGATCCACCCTCAAAAGCCACGAGCCCTGTCAGGGAACAAGCAGCGCTGATTTATTTTTATACCCTTGCAGGGTTTTATTGCAAAAACACCCCTGAAAAACCCCAAACCCCCAGCCTGGGATGTTGCACCTTGGGGAGCTGTTGCAGAATTCTTCTAAGCTGCAAAGTTCATCTCCAAAGCCGAGGCTCGATGGCGGCAGGTTGTCGTCTCCCATATCCCAAGGGTCTGCTACTGGAAGTTCAAGCTGGCTGAGGAAAAACTAACATAGTGATGGGGGGATTTGGCTCTCGGGGGAAATGGGGTGTTTAGGAGCATCCACAGCTGGGTTGGAGGGGAAAGGAGGCAAGGGGGTGCTCTGAGCCCTGGTTCCCTCTGAAATCTTCCCCATCCCATGATGCACCAACCGTCCAACAGGTCCCCATGGGGGACTGGAGTCTCCTCTGCTGGGTCCTGGCATGGGGATGCTCCTCGTGTCATGGGGTTTCGCTCTCCAGAGTAATTGTGTGGCTCCATCAGGCATTTCTGTTGGGATTAAATGCTGCTCCCAGTTATGCCCCACACGGCTCTGAATTGGGGCACAGGAGGAGAGGACCCCTGCCAGAAAGTGATTTTCCAAGGAACTTGATAAAAAATCAGGCAGCTGCCTCCCATTGCAAAAAAAAAAACCAAACCCCTTTGATCCTGTTGGCCAAAGAACTGGATCAGGAGGAGTTTCCCAAGAGGGGCCAAATGGCTTTGGGGATCAGGATCCGCACTGTTCACCCATGCCAGGGGTCTGGCTGGGAGAAATCAGATGTGGGAGGAAGGACTGGCTGGGTGCTGAGCACCCCAAGGGCAGGGTGATTTGGGGGACCCCATCAGGTGCGACACCCCTGGGCGGTGGGACAGGATGCGGCCATGGAGCTGATGGGATGAATGAGATGCTGCAGATCCCTGGGGGACGAGCCGGTGGCCTGGGGATGAGTTGGGAGATACACGTTGGCGCTGCCCGGGCTGAGAGGGTTTAGCGTACTGATGGCTCTGGAGAAAACATCAGCTCGTTAAAAAGAGCTGACACGCTCTGGCCGGACTGGCTGAGCCGCTCGTTAACATCCATCACCAAATGATTATCCCAAAGAGCCGCCGGCAGCGAACCCAGGGCCAGAAATGGCACTGAGGCCGTTTCCTTCCAGCTCAGCAAGGGCCAGCCCGGGCTTTATTCATTTGTTTTGTTGGCAATTAAGGAATAATCACCATCTCGGGGTGAAACACGGGCGGATCCTGCCTCCTGGGTGATGGCAAAAGGGTTACAAAGCCCCTTTGGGGATGTGAGGGTGGGCCAGGGGCTGGGCAGGGGGACGGGGGCTCGGGGATGCCATGGGCACACTTGCCCCATGGAGCCGGCGTCGGCAGCATCCCAGTTCGGCTCAGGGACACCGGCTTCACCCTGCCGGGAAATCACCCAGGGAGGAGCTGGGACGTGCCCCGACGTGTGCGCAGGGAGGCATAGGGCACCCCACTGCCAGGGGGGGTGGAGAGGGGGGAAGGAGGGAGCTGCGGGGGAGCTGAAGGCCCAGCGCAGGCTGCCCTGTCGGGA